TACACTGCACTATATATATTACTGACCTCTGTACACATCTGCACTATATATTACTGACCTCTGTACACTGCTCTACATACTAACGACATCTGTACACTGCTCTACATACTAACGACTTCTGTACACTGCTCTACATACTACGGACCTCTGTACACTGCCCTGCATACTACAGACCTCTGTACACTGCCTTGCATACTACAGACCTCTGTACACTGCCCTTGCATACTACAGACCTCTGTACACTGCCCTGCATACTACAGACCTCTGTACACTGCCCTGCATACTACAGACACAGACCTCTGTACACTGCCCTACATACAGACCAACCTCTGTACACTGCCCTACATACTACCAACCTATGTACACTGCCCTACATACTACCAACCTATGTACACTGCCCTGCATACTACCAACCTATGCACACTGCCCTGCATACTACCGACCTCTGTATACTGCCCTACATACTACAGACCTCTGTACACTGCCCTACATCCTATTAGCTGCATGGCTGAAGACCTGGTGTAAGAGGGAAGGATTTGGGTTTCTAGAGCACTGGGCTGACTTCTCATTGGGGTGCAACCTATATGCTAGAGATGGTTTGCACCTAAATGGAAGGGGGTCTGCTGTGCTGGGGGAGAGGATTATGGGATGGCTGGAGAAGTATTTAAACTAGGATCGGGGGGGGGGGGGGGGGGGGGGGGGGATTAGACGGGGTAGACAGATCAGACAGGAGTCAGTCCGTATTGCTGGGTGGAATGGGGAAAGATAGGGGGAGGGCTATGGCAGATGATAAGAAGGTTCCCATGTTACAAGCAACCAGTGGAATTGGTACCATTTGTATGAAAATAAAAAATATGCAAAATATGTGTGAACAAGGTGCGAACGAATTAAAGTGTTCACCAATGCCAGAAGTCAACAAAATAGGTGAGTTGGAAGCTTTGGCGCATGAAGAGAACTAGGATTTAATTGGTATTGCTGAATCTTGGCTTCATTCTTCACATAACTGGGCCATTAATATTCCTGGCTATGTTCTCTTTCGGAGAGACAGGGTAAATAGGAAAGGTGGTGGTGTTTGTCTCTATGTGAGAAGTGATCTCAGAGCGAGTGTGAAAGAGGACCTAGTTGGTGAAGAGTGTGATGAAGCTGAAGTATTATGAGTGGAACTACACATGGGGGTGCGTACTACAAAGGTAATCATTGGAGTTTGTTATAGGCCTCCCAGTGTTAATGAGGAGGTGGAGACTCAGCTCCTTGCACAGATCGAAAGGGCTGGGACAGTGATAATAATGGAGGATTTTAACTACCCGGAAATTGACTAGAGTAATGGTACTGCAGGAACAGTTAAAGGGCAAAAGATTTTAAACCTGCTACAGGACAATTTTATGGTACAGTTCATAGAAGCCCTTACTAGGAATGATGCTCTGCTGGACCTGGTCATCTCAAACCATGCAGAGCTTATTACGAATGTCCATATAAAAGAACATCTGGGTAGCAGTGACTGTCAGGAATGGACTTGCCAATAATGGTGGGACTCACCTGCCTTGTGGGCTGCAGTACCAGGGCTGGCCAGCGGGTGCTCTCAGCAATCAGAGACTCAACCCTGCAGTCAGCCAAACACCTGAAGCTGATTACGGAGGTTGTATTTAAGGGATGGCCAGACCTGCAGTCTGTGCCTTGGTGTGTGTTTTTCCATGGGCCCCTGTACCTTGTAACCTGCATTCCTGTTCCTGCCTGACTTGTTGCCGACCCTGCCTGATCCTGACCTCTGCTGACTTCTCCTGTTTGATCCCTGGCTTGTGACCCTGACCATTCTCTCCGCCTGCTCCTCCTGTACCTACCTGCCCGATAGTTATTGACCCAGCCTGCCTGACTACGTTGTGCTCTATATGTGTATGTACCTGTGTATCTTTATCAGTTTAGGTTTGGGTTTGTTTCACCTTGTTGTATGTATTTGTGTTAGCTTGGGGTTTGGTGCACTGCGTTTATGTTTGTATTGTTAGTCTTAATAAATTGTCTTATTTATACCATATCTGAAGCCTGCATTTCCCTGTGTCAGTCCACACATCTCTGGTCACACCTGCATCCCTGACAGTGACCATAACATGATTTCATTTATGGTTAGCTGTAAACAGCGAGCACGTACGGGAAAAATAAAAATGCTCAATTTTAAGAGAGCTAATTTTCCAAGGCTGGGAGCTGCTCTCCAAGACTTAGACTGGGAGGGAATATTGGCATCAATGAACACAACACAGAAATGGGAGTTCTTCAAAAAGACTGTATGTGAACACACTGCAAAATATATTCCCATGGGCAACAAGTTTAAAAGGCTAAAAAAATCAAATCTATGTGGCTTACGGCCAAAGTTAAAAAAGCTATAGATAAGAAAAGAGCTTTTATTAAGTATAAAAATGAAGGAACGCTAACATCGTTTAAACATTAGAAAGAATATAACAGAATATGCAAAAAAGAAATAAAGGCTGCAAAAATTGAAAATGAACAACAGATTGCAAAAGATAGCAGGACAAACCCCAAAAATTCCTAAAATTTATTAATAGTAAAAAGGTTCGGTCTGATCATGTAGGCCCTTTACAAAATAATCTAGAGTGGGTGACTGGGGACAAAGAGAAGACAAATTTATTAAATACCTTCTTCAGCTCTGTGTATACAAAGGAGCATGGGGGAGCTCTTGTCCATAATGGGCATGGTATTGACACAGCTCCAAATGATCCACATTGGCTCACAATTGATATTGATAAATACCTTTTGTCATCAGCAGTTAAAGCAGTCTTGTGACTTCAGCAGAGCACTGGTTAAGGCTTGTAGGAGGAGTTTTATTTCTGCTCTAGGAGGATGTAAAACCCCTGACCCTCTGTCTGGACAGTGCTGATTGGTCCTGTGCTGATCACATGCATTCTCCCAAGAAAAAAAAAAAACCTCTCCAGCAATACACACCAAACTGAGCATATGCATGTGACTACAGGTTCAGTCTGTCCTATCGGGTGGACATTTAAACAAGAGGAGGGGCAGAGACTAAAACATTTTACACAATGTGGAAGATTAACTACTTAGGATTTTACAGTGAGTATACCAAGCATGCTTTACTACATATACAGACTGATTTTACTGTTGTGGGTTTAGTAACACTTTAAGATAGAAAAAGGAATGGATAAAGCTCTTGTCTTTTTTTGCAAGGGACTTTTTTTTTGTGCCTTTCACCGTTTGGAGCCTTCCCGTCCTGCAGACACATTTGAATTGGTAGGAAAAATCTCCTCTCCGACATCTGTCTTTGAAACAAGTGCACCCATTGAAAGATTTTCTCTCTATTTATATTCTGTGACAATTTAAAAAATAACATGTTCTCTCATTTCCATTCTTGGGATACGCGTTCCTGAGCAGCATCCGTGACAGGAGGGATGTTTTTCTGTGTCTGGCCCTAGTGTATACTAGCACACCAGCAGCAGCTGGCTATCCCCCAAAGACCCTGCTCTCCACAGAGACGTCTCATTCCTAATGCCTGTCAACTTCCCACATTTTGTGAGTGCACAACACGTTTTTGTTCTACTCACCAGCAAAAGACATGACTATGCTATGAGACTATTGGCGCCCACTCTCTTCCTTTTTCCTTTCATAAAGATTCCACCTAACATGCAGAAAAGAGAAAGGTTTTCTAAGATACTTGTGACCGAGGCATTTCAGCGAGAATGTGGATGAACGCAGTTCCGCCACCTCCAGCACTGAATGTATGTAATGGCAAGGGGTGCTGGAGGGTATATTAACCACATGCCGCCCAGCCACTGTATAAATACGGCGGCAGGGCGGCACGGCTGGGCAAAACCACGTTTTAAAACGTGCGATTTGTAAACAGGTAGGGGGCGCTCGCGAGGCGTGCCGCCGCCCTACCTGTCCCGCCGATCACAGCCGCGGATGTCAGTCGCCAGGTCACAGCCGGTCGTTACCGGCTATGTCCCAGCGATCGGCGGCAATCACTGACAGAGAGCAGGGCTGCAGTAGCTGTGCTTTCTGTCAATTCCCTGACAGCTCCAGGACACGCTGATCAGGACAGAAGAGTTTCTCTCTCCCGATCAGCGGTGTTCCCTGCAGTACACACCCCCGCCCCCTAGTAAAACACTCCCCTCACACAGTTAACCCTTTCCCTGAAAAATAAACTTAACCCCTTCCTCCCCAGTGCCATTAGTACAGTGTCAGTGTTTTTTTTTTTGCACTGATCACTGTATTGGTGTCACTGGGGATGTTAGTGACCTCAAGTCAGTTCCCCCCCAGTGTCAGAATGTCCGCCGCAGTCCCGCAGTCCCACCATAAGTCGCTGATCGCCACCATAAGTCACTGATCGCTGCCATAAGTCGCTGATCGCCGCCATTATTAGTATAAAAAAAAACCCTAAAAATCCCAGTATCTTTCCTGCCATTTGTAAACTCTATAACTTTCACATAAACCAATTAATTTACACGTATTGGGTTTTTTTTTAGCAAAGACATGTCGCAGAATACATTTTGGCAGAAATTTATGACTAAATTTGATTTTTAAATTTTTTTTTACTGGACATGTTTTATAGCAAGAAGTCCAAAATATTGTTTTTTTTCCGCAAAATTGTCAGCCTTTTTTTTTTATAGCGCAAAAAATAAAAACCGCACAGGCGATCAAATACCACGCTCAATTTGTGGGGAAAAAAAAAGATGTAAATTTCATTTATGTACCGTATTGCATGACCGCGCAATTGTCCGTTAAACTAGCGCAGCGCTGTATAGCAAAAAAAATGGCGTAAATTGCAGTATCTATACCATAGTTTGTAGACGCTATAACACAAAGCAATCAATATACACTTATTAGGATTTTTTTTAAACTAAAACATGGAGCAGAATACATTTTGGCCTAAATTTATAACTAACTTTGAGTTTACTATATATTTTTTATAGCTGAAAATAAAGAATATTGTTTTTCTTCAACATTTTTGGCCTTTTTTTGTTTATAGTGTGAAAAATAAAAAGCGCACAGGTGATCAAATACCACCAAAAGAAAGCTCTATTTGTGTGAAAAAAGGACATAAATTTCGTTTGGGTGCAGCATTGCATGACCGCGCAATTATCAGTTGAATTAGTGCAGCGCCGAGTAGCAAAAAGAGGCCTGGTCATTAAGGGGGGTAAATCCTCTGGAAGGCAAGTGGTTAATGGTGGCTGCTGGGCGCTCTATTGTCACTGGGGGTGTAAGGGAATTGCCATGACACGGCTGGCGAAGAGACATGCGCATGCACACAAAAATGTGCAGTCAGCACTGTGAAGATTGGCGCCAGACGGACTATTTAAAAGGTGCCTCCTCCTGTGCTGAGTGCTGACTGGTCTTCAGCTGTTCCCCGTTTCCTGCTCGTTCCTGTGTGATTTCCTTGTTGCTGACCCGGCTTGTTCCTGACCTGACTCTGATTACTCTCCTGCTTGATACTGGTTCCTGACTTCGGCTCTGCTCCTGACTTTGGCTTGCTTCTGATTTGGTATCTCGCTGTCCGTCCGTTGATGACCCTGGCTATTCCTTTGACACTGCTCCTGTCTCCCAATCCCACTTCCTGCCTTGTTCTGGTGCACACCTTGCATTCTACCATATTAGCTCTGCATATTACTACTCTGCCTGAATCGGAGGTTCATCAGTCTTCCCAGGTCACCAACTGCAAGAGCTGCAAACATCATCTACTGGCGCTCTTGTCCCCCTGGTCCCTAGACACCCTCTGTTCCACCTCCAGTGGGGTCAGGGCTAGTGACACAAGTGAGGCCGACCTCGTCATTTCAGTCTCCTATCAGGTACGTGACAGGGGGAATCTATTGATGTGGGGGGTTCTATTGTTGCTGGTGGGTTAAATCTTGCTGGATCTACTGTTGAGGTAGGGATATTTTTTTGCTGGGTGCTCGAGGGCCTACTGATGTTGGCCGTTGGGAACTCTATTGTCGCTGGCAGGGGGGGTTTATTTTCAGTGGGGGGGGGTCTATTGTTGATGGCTGCGGGAAATCTTTTTTGCTGCCTTTCTTGTTATTAACAAATTCCATAAAAATGACTTAGCACTGCCTGTTCTGTATTCCCTAAAAGGGGCAGTGGTGGGGGATAGGTAGGGGAAGGAGACAAGGGATATTGCTCAGAGATGAGAAGGGGGCTGATACAAGGGGTGACTGAGAAAAAAAGCCCTGCTTGTGACAGTTGTTAAAGTCTGTTGTAAGCTGACGAGCATTGATTTACTGGATCAGAGAGGAACAGCATGTTACCCTAAAATGATTGCTAACATCCCTGATGCTTCAACTTCTCCCCAGTGCCCAATAGTCATGCACTGGAAGCCTACTCAGTGCAATTAAGATGAATCCACTGAGCTGCTTCTACAAACATCAGCTTCCTACAATACATCATCTCCTAATATATCTTCAATTCTCCCCACCACCACCAGCCTTAGGGCCATCTGCTCATTCTCTGAACAATCCAGAGATCAAAATTTGATTGCAGGAGTGGGAACCTGGCCTAAGGGCCGGTTCACACCATGGAAACGCAGTCTAGATGAATTCCGGATGCGTTTCTACATGCACATTGACGCATTTTTGATGCATTGCTGATGTGTTTCTGATGCTTTCCGGTTCACTTTTTTCCCCTCTCTTTTTCTTCAATTTGAATAGGGACATGGGCATTGCAGTGCGTTTTTGATAAATTAATTAAGATGTTAACCGCGCTCTAGTATTCATATAATAAATAAATCAAAAGTGCTATGTGCTTATAAATAAATAAAATATAAAAAATAAATAGTGTATCTTGATTGTGATTTTTGTGAAATATTTTTTAAAATTGATATTCAGCGTAACTTCTTTATACAAAATAATTCATATTATATTATTATATCTCAAAATGTGCAATGCTTCGATAATGTGCAACTTGTGATTTGATGAAAAAATATAAAAAGTGAATAAAAAGTGATAAATCAAAATAAGAAAAATATATAATAAACAAATTAATGGAAGAATTCATATATAGATAATAAATAATAAAAAGTCAAAAAGTCTCTGAATAGACGACAATTGTAGCCCGCTATGCACAATGGATGTCCGACTTGGATGGATAAACTCTCCTTCTATATGAAGATCTGATCTTAGCTGTGATGTTGCAAGCCTGTATAGCTGCAGGACTGTGAGGGACACTCCCTTCTCTGATCCACTCCCTAGTCCTCTGCCTCTGTACTCCTCGTGTGTAACATGTAAGAAAAGGAATAAAAATATGGTGCCTTATCCCAGGGGTAAAACAGCCTTTTATTGTGCTTCTCTATTGCACTCACATTTTAAAAGTAACAAATACACCTTGTGTATATGTCAAAATCTCCCACAGCTTCTAGCTGAATCAAACGAGCGGTGTGTCAACACACCCTCAGTACTCGCCGTATCTTTGTTAGATTGCGTGATGACGTCACTGCCCCTCCCCAACGCGTTGCGCCACAGGGATTTCGTAGCTTCGTCCGGGGGATGATGTGTCCTTTTGATACCTTTTACCCCTTCCAGTACAGTTCTGTGCAGGAAAAATGCAGCCTGTTCTACTTTTTTTTCCTGCAACTGGAACTCACTGGAACTGCAAGCACTGATGTAAACTATGACATTGACAACCATATAACCTACTTTCTGTGCATTTTGAATGCAGAAAAAAAGCACACTTAAATGCATGTAGTGTGAACTGACCCTAAAACAACACTACAAATCACGTGTAACTACTGTAAATCTGTACTGTATGTAATAAGGCCTCATGCACACTGGACATTTTTACTGTAAGGTTATGCACTTGGGGGCTAAGAAAAATATTAAATACAGTATGTTATATCCCAGTCGCCTTCGAGTGCAGTATGAAGGCTCCTCCTGTTTTTTTTACTCCCCTGCAGATGCAGATGGACGGCTTTCTACTCTGCCGTAGCTACTGGTTTCCTGAAGAAGTCCTGCTCATTGGTTTGCACTACCTTATATTTGGCCTTGGGTCACCTCCATGGGACCCCACTTCCTTTTCTCTGACACTTTTTCTTCTTGGTCTATTACATTGGTGATGATGCTGTTTTTATCTAGTCCTGGATCCAGCTAGAGCAAGCTCTGTGGTTACCAGTATATGCAGTATGGCTGATTTATCCTCATCTCATGAGTGTGGAGGTGGTTCGGGCCATTTCCATCAGATGTCTGGCGGATGACTCAGAATCCTATACTGGAGCTCGTCTATTGATGATCTAACCTCCTTCACTCTTATTTCTTCCCTGAAGAAGTTGATTCGTGGGATTACCCTGTTTTTTTTATTTAACCTAGTTGTTACTAGGGAAGGACTTCAAGTTGTTAAGGGTATTAAACTGACTGGTCAGTTGTTGGGGTTACTGGTCAGTAGGGAGTTTCTACTATTGTTTATGAGTAGTAGGTTTAAGTTTCTATATGACAACCGTAAGCCCCATAGACTCCTGTTGTGGCGGGATTTGGAGTATTTGTGGTTGGTGGGGGGTTATGGAGGCCCCCTTTTTGGGCTGATGGCCTTCTCCCCCCCACTGGCTCTTTCCTTCACTTCCCTTTTTTTGCCCTCTTGCATGGTCTATGGCCCTCCTTCCATTATTTCTTATCTTGGATATTTAATGGAACTTAGAGTGATCTCATGGAATGTCTCAGGTTTGAACCATAAATTTAAGCGGTTCCTAATGTTTAAATTTCTCCAATCTCACAAGCCGCGTATTCTTTTTTTCAAGAAACTCATCTCCTGGGTAGTAAAATTTTATCCCCTCGAAGGGCCTGGGTGCAACAGGCATTTCATGCTACATATTCTAGTTATGCGAGAGGGGTTGCCATACTCTTGAATAAATCCTTATAGTGTACTGTAGTGCAGGTATGTTTAGACCCTGGAGGCAGATTTATTATTTTAATCCTGGAAATTGGTAATGTGAAATATGCTTTTGTCAATGTTTATTTGCCACCGCCTTTCTCTGCTGAGATATTATATAAGATACAGGAACGGTTGGCCCCGATACAGGTCTCTGAGGTGGTTATTGCTGGTGATTTTAATACAATACTTGACATCTCTTTGGACTCCTCGAATCCTAGGAGGACTGTCTGTCTGGATTTGGAGATATGGTCCCAAACCTTTGGTTTGACTGAGCTGTGGAGACTTCAACATCCTGGGGTACGTTACTACTCATGTTTCTCAGCTACTAATAGGTCGGCCTCTAGAATTGATCTGGCATTTGGCTCTCGTTCATTGTCCGGGTCGGTTCAGAAGGTTGCTTACCTACCGGCAAGTATCTCTGATCATTCTCCACTAGAGTTGACATTGAGGTTAGTAGGTGGGAAGCACCCGGGCTGTTGGAGACTGAATCCTAAATGGATTACCAGCACTAGGGTACAGGAGTTATTGTCTGGGTCCTGCTCTCAGTTTTGGGAAATTAATGCTCAGTCTACCTCCCCTCTTTTAGTTTGGGACTCCTTTAAAGCTTATACATGAGGGCAATATATCTCGGCCATTAAAACAGCAAGGAAGAATTTCGCCAGTACCACCTCTGTGTTGGATCTTAATGTTTCTACTATGGTTTCTACATTCGCTGACTCCCCTACTGAGGACAATTATGCTGGGTTGGCTGCGACCTACAGGGAGCTGGGACTTCATTTCACATCCCTGTCCCATGTGGACACAGCCCTTCATGCGGGCAGATTGTTTGAATCTAGTGATAAGAATGGTAAATTGTTGTCAAATTTAGTGGCTGAGTCTCATCAACAGACAGTTATTCCTCGACTTTTTGTCCTCTACGGACGACCTCCTTCTAGAGCATTCTTTGATCCTGCAGGAATTTAGAAGTTACTTTCAGTCTCTTTATAGTCCTCACCCCTCTCCAGATCCCGTGATTTTGGGCGATAGATTGGAGAGACACTCCTTGCCACATTTGTCGGATGACGAGGTGGCTGAACTTGACCAAGATTTCGCTATCTCAGAGATTGAGGCAGCTATTTCTTCATTCCTGCCTAGAAAACTCCTGGACCAGATGGATTACCTGGAGACTGGTATAAATTATATATTTCAGATTTGGCACAACATCTTTATGATCTTTTCAGGGAAAGCCTGGCCCAGGGTGTCCTCCCCCCCTCCATATATCAGGCCCACATTGTTTTGATACCAAAACCACGTATCCTTCATACCAAAACCACGTAT